TCCCTAAACAGAGCTGCCTTCAGATATCTTTTGAAAATAAGATAGCTGCTTATTTCCTTCACATCTGAAGGGAGGGTGTTCCACAGGGCGGGCGCCACTACCAAGAAGGCCCTCTGTCTGGTTCCCTGTAACCTCACTTCTCGCAATGAGGGAACCGCCAGAAGGCCCTTGAACCTGGCTCAGGAAGTGAGTCAGAAGAGCACCTCAGAATCCCATTTCCCTGCTCCAGAACGTTATAGCAGCATCTTTCAGTTCTGGGCTTGCGTTTAAAATGTGGGAGTCTTTCTCCCCCCCCCCCCATTTCTTATATGTGCTGTCTAGAGTGACACCGGTCACGCCTCGACCTCCCACCAAGAAGTAGCTGGGCCCACTTAAAAGTTAAGTTCTTGGAAGTTTTGAAGCACAAGTTGGGCGGCCACCTGTCATGGATGCTTTAGTTGAGATTCCTGCATTGATGGGGGTTGGACTAGATGACCCTCGGGGTCCCTTCCAACACTATGCTTCTGGGTTGGATTTCATTCATTCCTGTGGACTGCCAGTCTATGCTGTGTTGGTTCTAATATTTTTCCATGTGTGTTTTACACTTTTAACTCTGTGGATTTCCTTCTTTTTCTTTGTTTTACTGGGGGAAACTCTTCTTCTTCCCCGCTTTAAAATAATAATAATAATAATAATAATAATAATAATAATAATAATTTTATAAGCTTTCACAAAGTACAGAAAAAAGAAAAAATATCCAAAAATTTAAAACACAAATGATATTCCACATTTCTCTTATTATGACTCCCTTCCCCCTCCTTCTTTGGTTCCTTATATTTTATATTATTTCCTGCATTTCCCAATTAAGTGAAATTGTTATTTACAATCTCTTCTACTTACACAAATGTATGTGTTTGTGTGTGTGTAAAATTCATACTGCACCTTATTTATATTAAACCTGCTAACGTCTTTATTTGTTTACAGTAATTTTGCAAATGCTCTATAAATGATTTCCATTCTTTCTTACGAACTTGATCTTCTTGATTCTTCTTATTATTCTGGTGAGCCTTGCCCGTTCTGCATAGTCCATCAATTTCTGTGCCTGTTCTTCTTCCCCGCTTCCAGATATCAGCAAGTGCATGACGGCCCGGCAGAAGCTGGAGGCTCAGATGACCGAGAACAACGTGGTGAAGGAGGTGAGCTCCCCCACCACCACCCTTAGCAGAAGCCGCCGCTTGTGCTGCCTCCCTCCCTGCTGACCTTTCCTTCCTCTGCAGGAGCTGGACTTGTTGGATTCGTCCAACACTGTCTACAAGCTGATTGGGCCCGTCTTGGTGAAGCAGGACACAGACGAGGCCAAAGCCACGGTCGCGAAACGCCTGGACTACATCGCAGGGGAGATGTGAGTGCCGCCTCCATCCCGCGGGGAGGCTCTGCTACTGCGGTTTTTCATATATATATATATATATATATATATATATATATATATGCTTTCGTAGATTTTCACGGGTACAGGAATGCAGGTTTTGGTGTCCTCGGGTGTCTTCCCGTGTAAAAGTTGGGGTGTCTAGGCGACGTTTCGACGAGGTCTCACTCGTCATCTTCAGGCTGGTGCTTTCGGCTTCTTGTTACTGGATCTGAGATCCTGCTCTGTTCCAGTAACAAGAAGCCGAAAGCACCAGCCTGAAGATGACGAGTGAGACCTCGTCGAAACGTCGCCTAGACACCCCAACTTTTACACGGGAAGACACCCGAGGACACCAAAACCTGCATATATATATATATATATACACACACACACACACACACACACGAGTCATACCTCGGATTGAAGTTGCTTCAGGTTGAGCGCTTTCGGGTTGCGCTCCACTGCAACCCGGAAGTAACAGAACGCTTTACTTCCGGGTTTCGCCGCATGCACAGACTGTCAAAATGACAAGATGCACATGCACGGAAGAGGCGAATCACCACATGCGCGGACGCGGGTTGCGTTCACTTCAGGATGTGAACGGGGCTCCAGAACAGATCCCATTCGTATCCAGAGGTACAAGTGTATATATACATAATTTTATTGGGATTGTTCTAGTAAATGAAAGGAGAAAAAAGGAGGGAAGAGAATAGAGGAAATTGTGTGCCCTTGAAAACGTGGGCGGCATTAAGATAAATTCGACAGTGTAAATAAGTTTGGATGCAATAATGGAAAACTGAATTGTTCAGTTTATGTAGAATGTGCAGGGATTTGTGTTATGCAAAATGAACCATGGAAAGAGAAGAAGGGAAGTCATTTATATTCTAAGGTTGTTTAAATGAATATTATAAATTGTTAAACAGAATATATATATATGAATGAGAATACAGTGGACTCTCGGGTTAAGAACGTAATCTGTGCGGTGTATGTGAATCCATGGGTTGCTATGGCTCACTTGCTGTTCGTGAAGAGGACTTAAGCAGCTGTGATTCCTGCATTGCGGGGGGGGGGCAGGGCTAGATGACCCTGGGGGACCCCTTTGCGATTCTATAATGTCTGAGGGACCTTCAGGTTCAGAGACAGGCTGCTGTGGTGTTACCTTTGCAAGCGGGGGGGGGCTCATGCCAGGGTCCCACAAGGAGCAGTTGTGGCCACTAATTGGGGTGGTTTGTACAGACCCAGGACTGGACAAATCCAGAGTGTGGCATAATAGCTAGAGCCTCGGACTAGGACCTGGGAGGGCAGGGTTCGAATCCCCACACTTGTCATGTAGCTCGCCGGTGTGACCTTGGAGTCAGTCCCCACCTCTTGGCCTCACCTACATCACAGGGTTGTTGTGAGGAGGAAGAGAGCTGTGCACCTTGAGCTCCTCAAAAGATAAAGCTGGCATCAGTCCATCAAGGTTGAATCCTGACAAGACAGAAGTACTGTTTTGGGGGGACAGGGGGCGGGCAGGTGTGGGGGACTCCCTGGTCCTGAATGGGGTAACTGTGCCCCTGAAGGACCAGGTGCGCAGGCTTGGGGTCATTTCGGACTCACAGCTGTCCATGGAGGCGCAGGTCAATTCTGTGTCCAGGGCAACTGTCTACCAGCTCCATCTGGTAGGCAGGATGAGACCCTCCCGGCCCGCGGACTGTCTTGCCAGTGTGGTGCATGCTCTATTTATCTCCTGCTTGGACTACTGCATTGCGCTCTTCGTGGGGCTACCTTTGAAGGTGACTTGGAAACTGCAATTATTCCAGAATGCGGCAGCTAGATTGGTGACTGGGAGCGGCCGCCGAGACCACATAACACCGGTCTTGAAAGACCTACATTGGTCCCAGAACATTTCCAAGCACAATTCAAAGTGTTGGTGCTGACCTTTAAAGCCCTAAACGGCCTCGGCCCAGTAGACCTGAAGGAGCATCTCCACTCCCATCGTTCAGCCCAGACACTGAGGTCCATCACTGAGGGCCTTCTGGCGGTTCCCTCACTGCAAGAAGCAAAGCTACAGGGAACCAGGCAGAGGGCCTTCTCTGTGCTGGCGCCCGCCCTGTGGAATGTTGCTGGGGTTCCCCGAACTGTAGTGTTGGGAGGGCTCCCCGGGTGTCATCTAGCTTAACCCCGGTGCGGGGCTCGTGGTGTTCTCTGCCTCCCCGGGGCTTGTGAAGCCACAAGCGCTGACGTCGCCTCCGCTGTGTCCTGTCGTTTCAGCAAGCGCTACGAGGGCCAGATGCAGGATTACGAGAAGAAGTCGGACCAGCAGCGGGAGACGCTGGCGCGGCTGCAGCAGGAGTTCCAGAAGGCCCAGGCCAAGGGGGCCGTCAAGGCCTGAGGGGACTTGGGGGGGGTCTTCCTGGACTGTGGGGGGAGGGATGGGGACACAGTTGCGAGGCCTGCTCCGCTGGGCATAAATAAAAGCTAGGACCAAGTCTCCCAACTCTCTCTCTCTCAGCTGATGCCTTCCTCTTTCGCACTCAGACCTCGCCATGCACAAAGGGGAGGGGGAGGCCCCTGGACAGGAGACCACCCCCCTCAACATGAAGCCGACACACAAAATCCGTCCCTGTGGCCTGGCACCTGTAGGGCGTCCATATTGCTGCCTCCCGAGGAGCTCTCTCTAGGGTCAGGCTGCGGCAGCTTCGAAGGGTGGCTGGGCTGGGATCCCGGAACGGTAGAGTTGGAAGGGGGGACCCCTAGGGCAATCTAGTCCAGCCCCCTGCCAAGGTGAGCGCAGAGCACGTTCTTCGGATGAGACCCTCATTCAGCTGACAGCCACCCACTTCCGCAAGAGCTGCAGAAAAGCTGAGAAGGATGGGATTTCTGGCAACTCCCGCTGCACTGGCAGAGCTTTCTAGGGAGGAGGGACATCCGGTTAGCTCTCTAGGGAAAGGATGGAAATGTAGAGTTCGGTGGGACCTCGGGGGTCATCCATTCCAACCCCCTGCTAAGGCAGGAATCTCAGCTAAAACATCCCTGGTGGATGAACACCCAACCTCTGCTTAAAAACCTCCAAGGAAGGAGAGCCCACTGTGGAACAGCTCTTCCTGTCAGAAACCCTCTTTTATCATAACTTGAAGCCCTCTGTTCGAGTCCTCCCCTCCAGAGCAGGAGAAAACAAGCTTGCTCCCTCTTCCACGTGACAGCCCTCGAGATACCTGAAGACGGCTATCATATCTCACATCTCCAGGCTTGGAGAGGTCCTGCCCCTCCTCGGGTCTCTAGGGCCAGGCTGCAGCTGCCTGCCGGCTTCTCTGGGGCTGGCAGAGAGCCCTGTGTTGCCCCCTACGTCAGGCTCACCTCCCCGCCAGGGACAGGTGCCTGGGAATGTTTCCAACTTTGCTGCTGTAGACAAGAAGAGGCGAGAGCCACCTAGAAGCTGGCAGAGGAAATCCTTGGGACACGTCCAAAAGGCCAAGAGGCACCTAAGGACTCTTGCTTGTAAACAGAACCTCTGAGCACTTTGTGAAGATGGCCCAAATATTGCCATTTTGTTTAGTGCACTCTTCACGTCCTCAGAGGTACTCCCATCTCAGTCTGGGTCCCCAAGCACAAAGCTTTTCATACCACAAACCTTTTTATAATAATATTTTATAGAAAGTTTCAGTGTCCCTGATGCAGCAGAGTACAAATGTTTTTAACATTCAAAACATCGTTTTTCCTCCAGAGAAAGAGGGGGGGGGAAAGTTATAGGCAGCAGGTAGAAAGTGCTGGTTGCCCGTGGGCAGCTGTGAGATGGCAAGGGGCAGGCGGCAGCCCAACCGGTGCAGCTCGGCCCACAGAGGTGTTAAAAGGCTCCTGTGAAGAAGGCGTTTCTTGTGCTGAAACTTAAATAGTATAAAAATATATCGGGGACTCTGCAGAGTTTCAGACAGTACACGAAAGAAGAGAGCCAATTTGCAAGCTGTTTAGACTCGTATATAAAATGTTAGCTGCGCGGTGAGAAGGAGCAGCCTGCAGGAGTGCAAAAAGTGGGGAAACTCCCAACCTTCCTCAACCTGAGATTGCCTCTGGGGTTTTAAACTACAACTCCCCATCGGGTGCTGGTGGGAACTGTAGTCCAAAAGTCCTGGAGTCTCAGAGCTGTGACATTGGGAGGGGACACCTAGGGTCATCTAGTCCAACCCTCTGCACTTCAGGAACCAGAGCTCAATGATACCTGACAGAAGCCCGCCCAACCTCTAATGAACCATAGAATTCAAGTTTTGGAAGGGACCCCCAAGGGCCATCTAGCCTAACCCCACGACAGACGGCCACCCAACCTCAGCTTAGAAACCTCCGAGGAAGGCGAAGGCGGTTCAGAAAAACGTTTACGCGGAACCTCCTTTCTCGTAACTTGAAGCCATCGGTTGGGGCTGATGGGAAATTCAGTGCAAAACCCCTGGAGGAGATCCCAACCTGAGGGTGGCTGGAGCGGAATTTGCAAAGTGACTGTCCGTGTAAAACAGCCGCGAAAAGTCACCGTCTTCCCACCAGCATCAGGATTCACAGGTGATGTTTCCCCCTCGCTTTAGGAAGGACAGATTTGGCCCTGGGTCAGGCCGAACCCTTCCCCACAGCCTCACAACATAGCGCCGTCTTTTTTATAAAAAAATTAGTGTTCATTTGCACTCAGCGCAGTGTCAAGTGCATCTTAGAGTCACACACACCCTCCCTGAGATATGGGGCAGCTGAGCTTAGCAGAGGGGGCAGTTTGCATCTGGGATCTGTGAGAAACAGCCTCCGACAGGCACAGAATTGCTCCACTTTCCGACCGGTCCAAAAAGAGGGAGCCGTCATCAGGGCAATCCGCCAAGCCCTCCCTCCCCGCAGCAGGAAGCGAGGTGCCTCAGGGTCACTTGGCAACCCTCCCGTTGACAGTCAAGGCACTTGGGGCAGGCGGGGTGGGGGGGGGGATGGGAGGAGCCCAGAGTGAGAGGAGAAGGCGCCCACGGCAAAGAAACAGGAAGCCGGTGGCGACGGCAACAGGAAATGCACAACGCAGATGGAAACTCTTCCAAGAGCGACACGACATCCGTGTTTTCGGCAACGCAGCCTTCCCCCCTGAGCTAGAGGGGAGGGATTTCACTAGAATCACAGAGTTTGAAGGCACCTGAGGATCATCCAGTCCAACTCCAGCGGTCCAAGGTGGGACTGCAAACCTTATCGGCCCCATGCTCTACCCAAATGAAGGAAAGGAAAGGTGCTGACACTGGAAATTGGACAACGGACTCGGAAACGGAGGATCAGGAGGGGCCCACAGGAACATCTAGTCCAGCCCCCCTGAGATGGCGGAATCATAGCTAAAGGAAGCTGCGCTTAAAAAATGGAGGAGACTCTGCCACCTCCGGTTCCACCATCAAACGGGAAGTTCTTCCTAACGTTTAGCCGGAATCTCCTTTCTCGTCGGTTGCATCCATCGGATCGCGTCCTGCCCTCTGGTTTCCTTTTCCCCTGGTCCAAGCAGTTAAGGACATCGAGTTCCTCAAAGACTCTGGAAAACCAGGGTTCTCCGCCAGCCAGGCCTGCCAACGCAGCTCTGCCAACATTTTGCCACTTCTGACACCGCGTTGCAACCCTATGCTGTCCCCAGTCTTAAGGGCAGCGTGGGCCGCCAGCCCTGAGAGAGTGGAAACCGAGGCACCGCTCTATCCTCTTGCCGCCCAACTCAAAAGAGGGCTCTGGCTATCTTCCGCCCGGTGGCCTTAATCTTCGGGAAGGTGGCGCTAATCTCCACCCCCTTGGGCGGCTTGGGTTTGGGTGGAGGCGGCGGAGGGGGCTGCTTCTCCCGTGGGCGCTTGGGTCGCAGCATGAAGTCCAGGCAGGTGCTGCTCATTGCGTAGAAGACGTTCGCCGTGGTGGGGAAGGCCAGCTCTGCAGGGGTGGTAGGAAGAGAGAGGGCGAGGAGGGGTCAAGGTGGAACAATGAGAGGAACTGCTCATTTTTGGAGTTCCCTAGTGGAAAAGGAATGGCGCGCCCAAAGCCAGAACCAGGGACTCCTGGGGGCGCAGCTCATCTCCAATCTTAAAAAAAAAAAAAACAACCCTCCTCTATTAGCACTGCTTTCCCAGACCTCTGTTGCTCTGCAGCTTTGCAGAACCCGAGCTGCCGTTTTCTTAAAAACCCAAATACAAAGCCGCAAGATTTTTGCCACTTTGTCAACAGCAGAAGACAGTTTGATTAGAATCTGCTGACAAACAAAGGGAGGATAATAAAGACTTTGAAGTCCATTGGGCAGCCTTGAAGCAGGGGAAATGTTTAAAAGACTTCATCCTCTGTGCTGCCTTGTTGGAAAAATATTTTTTAATGAAACATTTACAGTGGTACCACGGGTTACAGACGCTTCAGATTACAGACGCTTCAGGTTACAGACTCCACTAACCCAGAAATAGTACCGGGTTAAGAACTTTGCTTCAGGATGAGAACAGAAATCGTGCAAAGGCAGCAGGAGGCCCTATTAGCTAAAGTGGTGCTTCAGGTTAAGAACAGTTTCAGGTTAAGAACGGACTTCCAGAACGAATTAAGTTCTTAACCCGAGGTACCACTGTATAAGCTGCCGGGGAAGCACTGGAAAGCTAATTGTAACCTAAAAGCAATTTGACGCACTGCAAAATCCCGCAGGCAGCAGTTAAAACCAGTGGCGTAAATGCTTGCAACAGAATTGTAGAGTTGGAAGGGACCCCAGAGCTCATCTAGTCCAACCCCCTTTGCAATGCAGGATTCACATCCCCTCAGATTCCCCCCTCCCCACTATAAAGCACAGAGAGGGGCCTCACCTCGGCCTTCCGGCAGGAGCTGCACCAGTTCATAGTTGGCGGCCAGGACCCGATCCTGGTTGTGCTTCTCCAGCGCCTTCGCGATCACAACCGGCGCCTTGTCTTGGCTCGTGACCTGCAGGGGGCAGGCAGCAATAGCACAGGGAGAGGGAGAGAAAGAGAGAGGAGAGAGAGAGAGAGAGAGAGAGAGAGGAAACAGGATTTTCAGCCTTTGCCAATTGGGTGCCCCTCAGGATTTTTTGGACCAGGGCCGATTGTGAGTTTATTTCATAAAATTTACAGGCCACTGGATTGTAACAAAACAAACAAGCCTCAAAGCCGTTTTGAAAAACAATGAAACTATTGGCAGAAACGGTGTGTAAATAACTATGTAAAACCTTAAAAATGAAACAAAAACCTTTGCGGCAAACAGATTAAAACACACCAACGTTCTACGTTATCTGGGTAGGTCTGTCCAAAATAAAAAACGTTTTAGGAGGCGCTGTTAAGATCACAGCAAAGGCTGGGTGCCCATCTGTCGGGGGCGCTTGAGCCGAGATTCTTGCATTGCAGGGGGCTGGACTAGATGATTTTGGGGGTCACTTCTGATTCTATGGTATCTGCTTGGTGTCACTCAGCAGGGAGTTCCACAGTCAGGAGCTGCCATGCCGGAAAATCCATTTTATTACAGATGCAGAACGGGCGTTACATAGCCCCTGAGAATGGGCCACTTCAGCCAATCACAGAATCATATTGAGTTAGTGGGAAGGGACCCCTGAGGGTCATCCAGCCCAGCCCTTGCAGTCTAAGCAGCAGAGTGGCTGCATGTGGGGTCAGGCCACGACACAGATAACCTGGTCCCGCGTCATAGCGCGAAAGAGCTGGCAGGCACCTGGCTGGGGAACCGTAGAGCTGCAGCCCGGGAAGGGCAGGGGCTCTCAACCTGTGGGTCCCCAGATATTGTTGGACTACAACTCCCATCATCCCTGCCTTGCTAGCTAGGAGTGATGGGAGTTGTAGTTCAACAACATCTGGGGACCCACAGGTTGAGAAAGGCTGCCCTAGGGCCATCTAGGCCAGGCACCCCCAAACTCAGCCCTCCAGACGTGCTGGGACTACAACTCCCATCATCCCTAGCTAACAGGGCCAGTGGTCAGGGATGATGGGAACTGTAGTCCCTCAGTATTTCTCACTCCTGTTATACAGAAATCTCCAATTGGGTCCGAATGTCAATGTCTAAAATTCCTGGCAGAGGGCAAGGACCTGGAGATCACGCTAAGGGGGCCAAATTCTGTGCGACTGCCATAAAACTTAGGAAACAAGCTGTACTGCCAAAATGATTGAGGTTTTAAATGATAATTTTAGGTTATATTTTAGTGATCAAGATTATACACACACACACACAGTGGTACCTCAGGTTACATACGCTTCAGGTTACATACGCTTCAGGTTACAGACTCCATTAACCCAGAAATAGTACCTCGGGTTAAGAACTTTGCTTCAGGATTGTCAGAGCTGCTTCCAGGTCCCAGCTCACAGAGGACCACGCTAGCCGGCAGTAATGTACAAAAGTCTTTATTGAGTTACAGTTTCCATTTCCAAGCCGCAGCGCGCAGCTCTACGTCTTAGAAGCTAGACCGGCGAAGCTCCGTCTGAGTCTCCGCCTCCTGTACACCAACTTAATACTCTAGCCTTACTCCACCTCTTCCGTCTTTCCTTCCTTCTCTGGGTCCCTCTGCCCCCCGTGGTCTCTTCCTTTCTGGACTCTTGTGACGCTGACCCCCCGGACTCTTCTCCCTCCTTTCGGCGGGCTTTAGGACCTGGCTCCCTATCCGGGCTGCTTAATGTGCCGCCTTCCTGTGCATTTGAACTTGGCGCGCGCGCCCAGCCTTCAACCTTCCTCTTGACCGTTTCCTCGCTCCCCGATGGAGGTGTGGCCAAAATGATTGAGGTTTTAAATGATAATTTTAGGTTATATTTTAGTGATCAAGATTATACACACACACACACACACACACAGTGGTACCTCAGGTTACATACGCTTCAGGTTACATACGCTTCAGGTTACAGACTCCATTAACCCAGAAATAGTACCTCGGGTTAAGAACTTTGCTTCAGGATGATAACAGGAATCGTGCTCCAGCGGCGCAGCTGCAGCTGGAGGCCCCATTAGATAAGTGGTACCTCAGGTTAAGAACAGTTTCAGGTTAAGAAACAGACCTCTGGAACAAATTAAGTTCTTAACCAGAGACCTCTGGAACAAATTAAGTTCTTAACCATTAAGTTCTTATCTGAACTGTCTCTGTTGTACCCAATTGCAATTCAGTGTATCCCTGTTGTGTTTTACGATTTTCCTGATATCGTAAGTAAGCCGGAACTGATCTGTGACCGTAATAACAACATTCATTCCATTGTAGTCCTGAAACATCTGGAGGGCCGAGTTTGGGGGTGCCTGGTCCAGACCAACCTCCTGCCGCGCACGGGGGACAGCTAACGGCTGTTCCTGCGCCCCCCTCCCTGGCCAGGCCCTCTCTTCCCCAGAGGTCCTGCCCCCTTCGCTCACCAAGATGCTTTTGTAGAGGGTGCCATTGTGCAGAGCCATGCTGACGCGGATGATGCGGCAGTCCGAGGGGAGTCCGCTGTCCGGGGCGGGGGCCGTGGGGTAGGCTGACCCACAGGATGCCGAGCGCCGGTGGCCCCGGACGAAGGTGCCCCCCTCGGCAGGGGGTGGGGCCAAGCCCTCCGGAGAGGAGGGAGAGGCGTTCTCTGGGGCTGTGTCCAGCGAGGAGACGGACGGCCACTTCATACGCTGGGGAGGCAGCGGGAGGCAAGGGTTAGCGAGGGATGCGTCCGGCTCAGTGCTGTCTACACGGGCCGGCAGCACCGGGGGACTTCGAGAAATCTCCCCCACAGTTCTAATATTCACAACAATGCCCCTTTTGGCACAGTTGCTTCTTATGGGTCCTTAGTAGGTACCTCATTTATTTGTTTGTTAAATTTCCACAGATCCCAGGGCAGTTAACAGCATGAAAAAAAGCAACATAAAAGCATCAATAGGCAGCTGCTGGGAGGGTAAGGTGGCCTCATTCCAAAGCCAGGCACTTTTGAAGGTGGCTTACAACAAAATGGCAACAGATAAAGCGTCATAGGAAAGACAATTGTGAAAAAGCAATTAAACAAAAATAGGTAGCTAGATAAGATACATTAGGGTTGCCATATTTCCAGACGTGAGAGCTGCTGATTTTCTGGAGCTTTTTTCTGCAGATTTTATCGCAGTTTTCATCCCTTTTGCCATCCATCCAGGTTTCCCCCGACATTTTGCTGGCTTCAGGAAAATCCCCCCACCCCCGGACGCCATTTTCCAGGCCCAAATCCCGGAAGTGTCTGGGAAACCCTGGAGGTATGACAGCCCTAAGATAGAAACCAGGTGAGAGATTAAAGGTACAGAAAATCACCGTAAAAGCAGCATAACACCAGCCCTTTCCTTAAAAACTGATACTAAGCAGGACCCTTGTTCCGCTTACGAAGTGAAAATTCCCGCAGAGCTCACAAATCGCAGCTGGGAAAGGACACCGTCCTGGCCCCCCAACTCACCTGGGTCTGGTGCGGTTGCCCGTGGGGGGTGGGGGAAGCAGGTGGAGGCAGCAGGAGGTCTGGCGGGGCTTGCGGGGAGCTGGGCTTGTCCCAGCAGACAAGGGTGCTCATCCCAATCGAGGTGGCCAGGCTGGAGGAGAAAGGAGAAGCCGTTGGTGGTTGGAAAAGGACCAGAAGAATACGTTTCATTGGGTGGGACCCAGCTCTACAGCGCTAGGGTTTTAAGATTCCAGCTGGAGACCTGCGATTTGGACTCTCCTTCATGGGAGCAGAGGTTGGGTGGCCATTTGAGTGCCAGCGGTGCTTGAGCTGAGATTCCCGCATTGCAGCGGGTTGGGCTAGATGTCCCTCAGGGGTCCCCCTTCCCGCTCTATAATCCTATTATCTGTTCTTTGAAAAGAAAGCTTCGAAATTAGAGGGCGGGGGAAAGAAGAGGTGGGGCTGGACTTCCTCTTTCGCTGGAGGTTTCTAAAGCAGAGGACGGGTGGCCAGCTGTCATGGATTCTTTTCGGGCAAGGGGTTGGGCTAGATGTCCCTTGGGGGTCCCTCCCATCTCTCCCGGGCCCTTCCCGCCTCTCACTCTGCACAGTGGGTGATCACCAGGGTGGGCTTCACGGGGCGGCCAGGGGTCGCTGCTTCCGCAGGCGGCTCGATTGTGCAGGACAGCTGGTAGCTGGCAGAGAGAAAGAGGGAGAATGTCTGCTTTAAATATTTTACTTTTTAAAATAATAATAATAATAAATTCCCAGAAGAGAAAACAGCAGCTGTGTTTCAGTCTGTTGCAGCAAAAACTACAGGACAGGATGCACCCTGCCCCCCATAAACCCCCTAAATCTGTTCCAGGGGCTCCCCCAAACCTCCAGACAAGACTGGGAAGGCGGGGGCCGGGAAAACCTTCCTTGGAGGTTTCTGACAAGCTGTCTGTCAAGGATTCTATAGCTGAGTTTTCCTGCACTGAAGGGCTGGGTGGTCATAAAATCATAGAATCATCTGAGTCGGAAGGGACCCAGGGGTCATCCAGTCCAACCCCTGCCTTGCAGGAATCTCGGCTCTAGCCTCCATGATAGAGGCAAGGAAGGAGAGCTCACCGTCTGTCGGGGGAGACCGCTCCACTGCCTGCAGTTATCTCCCGTCTGGACTACTGAAGGTGACCCGGAAACTGCAACTAATCCAGAATGTGGCAGCTAGACTGGGGACTGGGAGCGGCCACCAAGACCATATAACACCAGTTTTGAAAGACCTAAATTGGCTCCCAGTACATTTCCAAGCACAATTCAAAGTGTTGGTGCTAACCTTTCAAGCCCTAAACTTGGCTCAGTAGATCTGAAGGAGCGTCTCCACCCCGTCGTTCAGCCCGGACACTGAGGTCCAGCTCCGAGGACCTTCTGACGGTTCCCTCCCTGAGAGAAATGAGGGAACCAGGCAGAGGGCCTTCTCGGTGGAGGCGCCTGCCCTGTGGAACGCCCTCCCACCAGATGTCAAAGAGAAGAACAACCACCAGATTTTTAGAAGACATCTGAAGGCAGCCCTGTTTAGGGAAGCTTTTAATGTTTAACAGACCACTGTATTTTAATACTTTGTTGGAAGCCGCCCAGAGTGGCTGGGGAAACCCAGCCAGATGGGCGGGGTATAAATAATAAATTATTTATTATTATTATTATATTATTATTATTATTATTATTATTATTATTATTATTTCACTGCAATGTGAACCGTTTACAAATAAAGAGCAGTATACAAACTTTGATGGGCTTTTGAGGGGTCAGTCTGCATGATATCTGGGGCGTCCCCTCCACAAATTCCAGCTAAACATTTGCAGAAACGGAGGGGCTCAGGGCATGTCAGGGGGGTGGGCCACGTGACCTCCGGGAACCCCCTTCCAACCGATTTAGGATTCTAGGGCCAAAGAGCAGACTGGGTTTCGGGTGGGACCCTGAGACCCACCTCTGGCCCTCGCTGAGTCGGGGCAAGCGCTGCAGCCATCGCTGGAGTGCCGGTCGGGGCTCAGGGCGTAGTTGCGGCAGTTGGCCTGCAGGAGTCGCAGCTGGGTGAGGATCTCAAATTCCTATTTTGGGGGGGAGACACAAAGAAAAATGGGCATTAATAATAGAAGGTGCCCCCCATTTTTAAGGGGGTGCCCACTGCATGCTCCTCCCCTCTCCCAATGCAGCACATACCTTGCGGTGCTTCTCAAAGTTGATGTACCCGTTCTGCAAGAGAAAGAGTCACAGAATTATAGATTTAGTCGAACGCCGAGCAACTCGGGGGGGGGGGGAGAGACATAATTATTCCAGAAATGAGCACAAATGCATCCCACGAGACAGCTCCAGCCCCACCAGGGCCAGCAAAAGTGGCTTGCCTCCTGCTTTTCACAGAAGTACCGTATTTTTTGCACCATAAAACTCACTTTTTTCCTCCTAGAAAGTAAGGGGAAGTGTCTGTGCGTGTTATGGAGCGAATGCCTGCGGGTGACGGGTGGGATCTGCTGCAGTCGTGAGCAGAGGATCCATGGTTCCCCTTCCTTCCTTCCTTCCTCCGTGGTTATAAAGCATGGATCCACATGGATCCTCAGGATTTTTGCATTGGGCTACTCCAAACTCACTGTCAGATCACATGTCTGTGGCCACAGCATGAACCACAAAAATCATATATCCACTATTTCGTTTAGAATATTTTTTTTCTTGTTTTCCTCCTCTAAAAACTACGTGCGTGTTATGGTCTGGAGCGTGTTATAGAGCGAAAAATATGGTAATTCCCAAATTGCACTTGTTTTTGGAGTGCAGCCTAAGATCTCCTGATTTGCCCCAATGAAATTGGCTCGCTCATTCATTCATTCATTCATTCATGACTGCTGCGATTCCCACCCCAAAGTTCTCTCCCAGGGAAGGGACTCCCTGGTTGTCTCTCTGTGCGAGTTGCCGTTCCGTCATCCTCCTGCCAACCCACCTCTGCATTTGGAAGCAGCTGGGTCACTTCGCCGTAGAATCACAGAAGGGACCTTCCAAGGTCATCCAGCACACCCTACAAGGCAGCAATCTCCACCAAAGCCTCCCTGACAACTGGACATCCAACGTCTGCTGAGAAACCTCCAAGGAAGGAGAGCCCACCGCCTTCCGAGAGAGTTGAGATTCCTGCATTGCAGGGGGTTGGATGGATGACCCCCGGGGGTCTCTTCAAAACCCAAAATTCTGTAGTTCTACGAGTCTGCTCCCCTGCCGAACGGCCTGCCCGGGGTTGGCGTCTCCTGCCTGCCACCTGGTCCTCACCTGCAGCCTGTTCCGTGTCGCTGCGTCCAGCATCACCAAGTCCTTGAGGAAAGTGCCCAGGTAGGGGACCACGCCCTGCGGGGAAGAGATTGAGAGAGGAAGGATGTCAGAGACGGGGACCCCTGCATTCCTGGCCCCTCAGCCCTAGCCCGCCTCCCCTCCTCTTGAAGTCTGGGTACCACGGGGCGATGCTCCAAAGATCTCCGCTGCTGCCTGCGCTGGATTGGGTCCACCCCAGCCCCTCGAGGGTAGCCATCCTGTGGGGAGCAGAAGAGAATTCAGAACTGCATTATTTTAGGATAAATTGCATGGCGAAATGTGCAAATCGGTCCAAATTGCATTCAAAAACATGTTCAGTAGTAGGGTAGCAGGAGACTCCCTCGAAAGGCGAGCGTCTCTCCCCCATTGGAGGTTTTCAAGCAGAGGCCTAGGACCCTCGTACCTACGGGACCACCTCTCCCAGTATGCCCCACAGAGGACCTTGAGGTCCATAAATAGCAACACCCTAGAGGTCCCGGGCCCTAAGGAAGTCAGATTAGTCTCAACCAGAGCCAGGGCATTTTCAACTCTGGCCCTGGCCTGGTGGAACGCTCTGCCTCATGAGACCAGGGCCCTGCAGGATCTGATTTCTTTCCGCAGGGCCTGTAAGACTGAGTTGTTCCGCCTGGCCTTTGGCTTGGAATCAACTTGATCCCCTTCCCCTCTTTCCTTTTTCATTTCTCCTTCTGTGATGGAACTCCTATTTGGGGACTTCCCTGGCTTTTTTCTGGCCCACGTAGGACCAGTCCGGATAGTTGGCCTTGGTGAAGACTTGACGTTTTCATCCCCAATTAAGTTTTTGATTGAGTTTCCACTGAAATGAGGCTGCATTTTAATGTTGTATTTTAATCTTGCTTTTAAGTTGTATTTTAATCAATTGTTTTTATACCTGGTGTTAGCCGCCCTGAGCCCAGTCTTTGCTGCAGAGGGAGGGGTATAAATAAAAATGATGATTATTATTATAGAGGCTGGACGGCCGTCTGCCAGGGACTATTTCGCTGCAATTCCTACAAAGCCCTGAGTCTCAGGCCATGTCCCGGATGTCGGAGACAAGCAGAGGAACACTTGACGCACCCCATCTGGTTTTATTTCGGCACCTGAACTTCAATGTTTGTTTTCATGGGCCGTTTTCTTTCCTGTGTTCCCTTTCCGCTGGTGAGGAGCCGCCTCGGAAGAGTTTGTTGCCCGGAAAGTGAGGACTGTAAGCACCGATGGAGCAAAACCAAACAAGCCAAGTGAGAAGGTTGGCTCAGAGATGCAAGGGATTGCCTCAGGATAGGATATGCAATAGATTAGGAACTGCAATTCGCAAAAAGTCAAAGCCCTGAACATTTTTATGCCAGTGGAAAGCCGGTGTGGTGTGTGTGCGTTTAAAAGTCCACTAGACATCGAGAGCCAGGGTAGTGCAGTGGTTAGAGTGGCAGAATGCGACCTGGGAGAGAATCATAGAATCTTAGAGCTAGAAGGGATCCCGGGGTCATCTAGTCCAACCCCCTGCAATGCGGGAGTCTCAGCTAAAGCATCCATGACGGATGGCCACCCAACCTCTACCTTAAAATCTCCAAGGAAGGAGAGTCCACCACCTCTCATGGCAGTCTGTTCCACTGTCAATCAGCTCTTACTGTCGTATATTGGAATCTCCTTTCTTGTAACCTGAAGCCACGGGTTCGAGTCCTACCCTCCGGAGCAGGAGAAAAGAAGCATGATCCCTCCTCCGTGGGGCAGCCCTTAAGATATTTGAGGTTTCCCCTCAAGTCTCCTCTTTTCCAGGCTAAACATACCCCAGCTCCTTCAACCATTCCTCATCAGGCTTAGTTTCCAGACCCTTGACCATCTTGGTCACCCTCCTCTGCACACCTTCCAGCTTGTCAACGTCCTCCTTAAATTGTGGTGCCCAGAACTGGACGCAGGGTTCCTAGTGTGGTCTGAGTAAGGCAGGATAGAGTGCGACTATCACTTCCCTTGATCGGGACACTAGACTTGATGCAGCCTAGAAGAACATTAGCTTTTTTTGCTGATGCCACCACACTGTTATGTTAAGTTTGTGATCCACTAAGACCCCTAAACCATGGGTAGGCAAACTAAGGCCCAGGGGCCGGATCTGGCCCAATCGTCTTCTCAATCCGGCCCGCGGATGGTCCAGGAACCAGCGTGTTTTTACATGAGTAGAATGTGTCCTTTTATTTAAAATGCGTTTCTGGGTTATTTGTAGGGCATAGGATTTCATTCTCTCCTCCCCCCCTTCAAAATATAGGCCGGCCCCCCGCAAGGTCTGAGGGACAGTGGACCAGCCCCCTGCTGAAAAGCTTTGCTGCCCTAGATCCTTCCCACATGCACTGCTAGTCAGCCAGGTGTCCCCCATCCTCTATTTGTGCATCTGCTTCTCCCTTCCTAAGTGCAGAGCCTGACGTTTGTCTCTGTTGAAATGCATTCTGTTAGCCTGGGCCCAATTCTCCAATCTGTTACGGTCATTTTGGATCCCGATTCTGCGGAGAACGTGGAATAAACACCTGGAAGAGGAGCCTCCGGCTCTGGCTGTAGTTGTCCTCCTCCGAGCAGACGGCGCTCAGCTCCTCATAGCAGCGGAGGGAGTCCCTGGAGGGGGGGAGAGAAGCTGAGTAGGGCAGTCTCAAAAGGGAACCCCCTCCCACAACCGCACCCCAGCACTAAAATACGACAGGGACAAAAGGTCAGCCAGGCCACCTTTAGAAGTTTAATGGGCTTCACCCTGCCTAAGAGGGATCAGGCTTGTGTGTTTGTAGGGACCTCCCTAGACACCTCTGCTGCATTGGTTAGCTGTGATTCTGGGGTTGGACTAGATGACCCAGAGGTGTCTCACCCAACCCTACAATTCCAGAGGGTGCCTGGCAGGGAAGAGAAGCGCTTTGGGAGGAGGACCTAAGGACCTGGGCAAGAAGAGGGGAATGGCCAGGGCAGATGGCTGCCTGGTTTTTGTTGCGGCCAGGAAGAAGCTCAGGGTCTCAGAGACGGGTGGGTGGGTGGGTGGGTGTTTTTCTGCGAGGGGAAGGAGCTCTGAAGCAGAGGATCGGGGCCCACCTGGATGTCTCCTCCCAGGTCCTCTTGAGGCGATGCAAAGGGGTGGACTTCAGTGCAGAGACGACGGCATAGAGAGAGGAGAAATTGCGGAGGAGAAAACACTCCTGGGATGGGAAAGAGAAAAGAAGAAAAGGGTCTGTCAACCGCCTTCCTGGGGGGGGGTTATGCAAAGGCCACGCGTTTAAATCTAAACAACAACGACAAATGCAGCTTACAAATAGATAAAATTCCTGCATTGCAGAGTGTAGGGGTGCAAATATCCAGAGCGGGGGGTCAGGTGGGATTGCTATGAGGAATTATGAAAAATGAAGCAAGCCATTGTGTCGGCAATGCGTTGACTGGGTTTGATTCATTGACAACAGTTTCTGATCGAATCCCCCAGGCCTCTCCACATCGGCCATTTGCTTTCTCTACACCTGACAGGCACATATAAGCATTCTAAATACACAGGGCAGTTGCTTCATCAGGCATCCTCAGTACATAAAGTTAGGAGGTTACTGTGAGGTAGTTTAATCTTTAGATAGATCTTAAGGGCCAGGAAGAGAGTTCACAAGGAGATGGCAAATACTGCCATCCTGTCTCTCCTGTTTATTCCTGTTTATGACCTCCAGGGTTTTGCTGAATGCATTCCTCCTTTATTCCTATTTTATTTACTCTCAGATATGTATGCATGCTCAAAGTAGTCTTTGTAGTTAAAAGAATTTCTTCTGATCTGTCCCACGTGGGGTTTTTGAAATGCTCAGAGGAAATCTGATTGGTTCTTACGAACACTGTGTAAAAAGTTCTTTTGTGAATAAAACCACCTGGGCCAAGGGGTGGACAGAGGAGAATTATTATTATTGGCACCTCCTCCCAGAGTCTTGCTGGTCAAGCCTCGTGTGTATTTTATTAATCAGAGTCCAATCCTTGCTTGCTTTGGGAAAGCTACAGCAGAGGGCTGGGCTGGATGACCCTTGGGTGGCCCATTCCAACCCTAACCGTCCGATGGTTCTATGAATTCCATCATTCTGTTACGATTTCAGCTTAATCCAGCACGAAGCCGGAAAGGGGCAGAAGGAACCGAGACTCCCTCCTTGTGAGGAGGACCCACCTCTGCCACGCGGATCCACTTCTCCAGCAGCCGCGCCCTCTGCGCCGCCCGCAGCTCCGTGTCGCCCAGGCAGGAGGAGACGACGGCGTTGGCCACGCGGTTGAACTGGGCCACGGTGGCACGGACAGAGGGGCAGGCCCCCTCGTGGCCCCTCTTGTCCCGCTGCGACCACAGCTGGCCCTGGCACTCGTGGGGCACCAGGCGCAGGAAGAGCTCCTGCGGGGAGAGAAGAAACTGAAGGGGGGGAGGAAGAGAGAACCCCCCCAAAAGCCCCCAATCCCTGGCAGGCTGGCTTAAAAGGAACCCGAAACCTGTGCCCCTCAAAGGCAGGCTGGGCAAATGGCGAGGGAATATCTGATCAGGAAGAACAGTTTCTGTTTTATTATTATTATTATTATTATTATTATTATTACTAATTTTTTACCAACCACCCAAACACAGTGAAAACCCCCAGGCGGCTGATACATTGGGTATACAATATTCAATAATATACGTTTTCAATAATATACATATTCAAATCAACCATATGTACACTTCTATATGCCTTAACGCTCCTCCCTCCACAAGGTTTATTTAACTTTTAACATTTCAATTGCCCCAATAATTCACTATCTTCTCAGACCAATCCTCCTGTTTCTCACTGACCAAGAACAGCTTTCATTGACGGAAAGCAAAATCTCCTAAATCTCCAGTCCTCATGCCCGAAGAGGTGGTCCGTGACAGAGGGCAGAACAAGGGTTGTGGAGCTCATCCAGACCCCGGCAGGATCCCCCCACGCCTTCTCTCCTGCCCCCCCCATCACACTCACAGCATCCTGCGCGGTGAGATGAGCGGCCACGTCTTCCGCCTGGAGCCCCAGGATGTAGTGGGGGTCTGGGGGCCCTTCGTCCGTGATGCCTTCGTCCTCCCGGGGGTCCTCCTGGCCTTTGGGAGCACCCTCTTGGCCGGCTGCCAGGAGGGTCTTCTCGGGGTCCGATCCGCTACCCAGCGCCCAGCGCAGCCAGGCTCCCAGCTGCTCCTTCAGGCCAGCGTCCAGCCCCACAAAGTCCTCCGGGTACCCGTCCAGCCAGCAGCACAGCAGAGACCCCAGGGCCCTGTGGGGAGGGGAAAGGGGGGGAGTCTGTGACTGATGGGATCCCAGGAAGCCCCCCCCCACAGCACAGCAGTCAATCAGAGAGGCCCATTATGGAAAAACAGGCAAGTGGGATTCAAACCCCCAAGAGCCCTCTCTCCCTTTCTGTGGTTTCCAGCATAAAATCATAGAATCGTTGGAAGGGGCCTACTGGTCATCTAGTCTAACCCCGTTTCTCTCCAGGTGTATCGGCCTCTTCTTCGCCTTCCCTCCGAATGAAAAAGCCCCAAATGGATGGCTCAGTCAGTAGCTCTCAGGGTCGTGAGTTCCCACCAAGGGGGAAAGATTCCTGAATTGCATTTGACTACATTGCAGAGAGGCGCAGGTCCATTCTGTGTCCAGGGCAGCTGTCTCTCAGCTCCATCTGATACGCAGGATGAGACCCTACCTGCCCGCCGACTGTCTCGCCAGAGTGGTGCATGCCCTGGTTCTCTCCCGCTTGGACTACTGCCATGCGCTCTCCGTGGGGCTCCCTTTGAAGGTGACCCGGAAACTACAACTAATCCAGAATGCGGCAGCTAGACTGGTGACTGGGGGCGGCCGCCGAGACCACATAACACCGGTCTTGAAAGACCTACACTGGCTCCCAGTACGTTTCCAGGCACAATTCAAAGTGTTGGTGCTGACCTTTAAAGCCCTAAATGGCCCAGTAGACCTGAAGGAGCGTCTCCACCCCAGACACCTGGGTCCGGCTCCAAGGGCCTTCTGGTGGTTCCCTCCCTGCGAGAAGCGCGGTTACAGGGAACCAGACAGAGGGCCTTCTCGGTGGTGGCGCCCGTCCTGTGGAACGCCCTCCCATGAGATGTCAAGGAAATAAACAACTGACTTAAAACAATCTGACTTTTAGAAGGCATTTGAAGGCAGCCCTGTTTAGGGAAGTTTTTAATGTTTGAAGTTTTATTCTATTGAAAGCCACCCAGAGTGGCTAGAGAAACACGGCCGGATGGGCAGGGTATAAATAATAAATTTATTATTATTATTATTTGACTGGATCCCTCTGGGGTCCCTCCAAACTCTCCCATTCTGTGGCTCTGTGACCTTTCCGGTTGCCCTGTCCTGAACCCGTCTCAGAGACACCCTACCCCAGACGGCAGGTGCAACCTCCCAGATCAGGGAGTCTCTGGTGACTCACTCGTGCGAGGGAGCCAAGCCCACGTGCCCTGGCCTCACCCCCGGCCCCCACCCCAGTCCACGTGCCTCACTGCCAATCCCTCCCGGGAGCCCACGGCAAGACCAGACGCAGCCGGCAAGCGCCTCGTCTCTCCGGAGGGTGTTTCAGGGAGGGTGTCGTCTCCCGCACCCGCTTCCCACTCAAGGCTCAAAGGAGCAGCCCTGCTTGACCCTCTCCTGACCTAATGTCCTGTCTCCAAAAGGGGACAGCCCAGGAGGACAGTCTCCCAGGCCAGCAGAAAATATCTATATTCTGCAAGCCGGGAGGAGAGGGGGGAATGACTGACTATTTTGTGTTCGTTTGGCTTTTATTCCTTAAACCACTTATTTGTGTTTTAATCTTGTATTTTTATCTCGTGAATTGCCCTGAAAGCTTTTGATGGATGATCTAGAAATCCTAATCCTAATAATGGAATAGATGTAAATCCTTCCTCCGTGGTGAACTGATGGCTGGTTTTTTATTTATTGATTAAAAATATGTATATACCAACCTATCATTAAAAAAAGAGAGGTTTACAAGATAACCAGGTAACTTTTTAACATGGTCTTGTGGAGAAAGAAGAAGGCTTCATGGTTTTATTGCTATAAACGGCTTTGATTATCCTTTTTGTATGACACAAAGCTGTACGAATATTTTCACCAAGGCGTAAACAAGCGGGATTTACTCCTGAGTAGACACGCGAGAGCCCCTTCGGGAGGTTGCAGGGCCACCTGTCCAAGATGCGTTCGCTGAGATCCCTGCCTGGTGGGGCTGGACTAGATGACCAGAGGGGGACCCCTTCCAACTCTACCCTTCTCTGTTTCTAAGTATGTAAGGCCGTTCAGAAGCAAGGCTGGAGATGGAGCTCAAACCCAGAACCCAAAGGCTCGCGACAACCACTGTGCCTCTGAGCATGTGCCGAGTTCAGGGACCTCTGAGATTTCTGCACGGCAAGGGGTTGGGCTAGATGACCGCCAGGGGGCCTTCCAAAGCTACGATTCAAGGACCGTACCCAGTTCATAATCATAACACGAACACAGGCAGCCATCCTTCTGGTAGAGAGAGGAGAGAGTCCAGAAGCAGCTTAGGAATTAGCTCAGAAAATGGGATTTGGGCTGCGGAGGGGGATATTTCTTTTGGGGAGGGGGCTGTTATTAAGTGCTCAGGGGAGCAGGGAAAAGGAAGCAGGCAGCCACTCACCGCTGAAGGTCTGCTGTTTCCGGGGGTAGCGTCTGAACTCGAACCCACAACCGCCTGCAGCCTGCGGGGGGGGGCAGTGAGAAAAAACAAGGGACTCAATAAATTAAGTAATCCTTCTACTCTCTCGCCCTTCCAGCAACCCGCCACCTCTCCACAGCCTCAGGCGGCTGCCCAGCAGGCAGAAACCCAACCGGTGACGTTCTGTTCTTACCATGAAAACTCAGCAATGTTAAAGATGCCGCACAAGCTGCACCTGCTGGGTTTCCGCCTGCGGACCAAACAAACAGCACTGCCAACGTTCCCACCCCCCCAGACCATCTCCCCTCCATTGCAAACCTCTCAAGCAGGAACCCCAGGACCAGGCCGGTCGTGGCGAACGTCCGGTAGGTGGCCAGGAAGGCCGGGACGTAGCAGGTGTCCCCGAGCGAAGGGGCTTCCAGAAGGTGCCTGACCAGGCGGGGCAGCGATCCAGCCTTCAGCACCCGAGAGCGGCCGGCCGGGGACCCCGACACCCCCAGCGCCGAGGCATCAGCAGCCCCCGGGGGACCTGAGGTGCTTGGCAGGTCCTCGACCTGGGGGGGGGCAGAAAAAGAAAGGGGTGGGCTCCAATGACAAGGAAGGAGGTTCGGTTTGTGAGCTGCAAGTTGTGGATTTCTTAGAAGCGGTTCCCTGCACGGCCGGCGGGTTGAGCTGGATGACCTCTGGGGGATCCCAACCAATTTTTCAATTTTATGTAAACAGAGGCAGCCTCCTCGTTGTCGTCCTAATCTGGCCTGTGGCAGGTCATTCCCTTGCTTGGCTTACGCACCACCAGGGCCTCTAATTGTTGCACAGCAGGCAGAAATTCAACAGGTGACGTTTCGCCAAATGCCACGGAAAGGCAGCAATGTGAGTGATACGCCTTTTAACGTCGCTTCTCTTCCTTTGGCAATATACACCCCCAGGCATGGGGCACGACTTACCCCAGAGAACAGGCTGGCTTTGTTGGCGCCCCCTGGCAGCCGAGAGCTGACGGTGTAGATGGCGCCTTCCTCCTTCTCCTCCCACAAGGTCACTGGGGGCTGCGGTGGGGGAGAAAAAATGACATTTTAGCCCGTGTGCAATTCCTGCCCACCCCCAAGTTGCCACCAGAGTGCTCCGTCATTTATGTCTATTTATTTGTGGGTCTGCGGCATTTCCGTCCCTCAAACCTCCCCCTCAACAACCCCGAGAGGGAGGCCAGGCTGGGAGAAGGCAGCCTGCCAGGATTTGAACCCAAGTCCTCAAACCACGGCACCACCTTGGCTTCTGGCCCCCCCCCATAAAACCCTCCGAGCCTTACCTTCACAGGCAGGCAGTACCAACGGGTGCGGGTGAGGATCCCCCCTCTGCGGAGCCCCCTCCCGGCTCCAGGCAGCCCCCCAGGCGGAGGAAGACCTTCATTGGGGTGGCAGATCACCCCCCCTTTGCACCCCTCCTGCCCCCAGATGGAGAAAGTGGGGGGGGTGTCCTCTTTGCTGCAGAAGATGGGCAGAAAGAGGGTTGGGATGGGGGGGCCCAGGCTGAACTCCCGGCCCCCCACCCAGGCCTCGTGTGTCTTTCTCTCCTGCCTCCCTTTCGGTGTCGGTTCCTCTCCTTCCGCTTCGCAGGATTGGGCCCGGCCCCTTCCCCGCCCTGCAGAGGACTTCCCCAAAAACAGGCCAAACCAGATTCCACTTCTCTCTCTCAGCCAACCCCCCCCCAACAACAACAACAGGCCCTTTGCCTGGAAGCCCCAAGACACCCATGCACACCTAGGCAGCAGGCAGGCAGGCCGGAGTCCAACAGGTGCAGCTGCCAGCTGGGAAGGTGTGCCCAGAGCACCGGATCAAAGGTGCTCGCCTCCAGAGACGGAGCTTTGTCACCCGGGCAACGGAGCCACACAGTGGGTCAATAGAGAGCAGCAGGCAGACACGCAAACACACACACATACACACACACACCTGTCCCAGCCTGCACACCGGGAATGCAAACAGACGCACTGTGCCAACCCTGCAGTGCAGGCCGGCGGAGGAGGGGGGGCAGCGCGATCACGACCCCCAAGCGGACCAGCCCCACACAATGAGGCGGGCGGGCGGGACTCCTGTCTGCAAAAGGGGGTCACCTCTGGAAGCAGCCGGCGGGGGTTGGACTAGATGACCCTGGGCAATGCTGGGATTGGCCAGAGGTTTTTAAACAGGGCTTTGTAAGGGACCGTGGCTAAGGCTGGGCTGGATGACCCCGGGGGTCCCTTCTATGGCTCGTGGGCACGGGCGAGGGAACTCTTGAACCCAGAACCTGCCAAGCATACCCGCAGAGAGTAACTCCTGCATGCGTCCCCCCACCCCAACAAACACCTCCCTGCTGCTACTGACCTGCTCCGGAGTTGGGGGTCCTCCGCGCTCCGACTCGGGGGTCCTGCTCCGGAAAGCGCTGAGGGTCACACCGGCGTCGCCTCCCCCGTCCAGCAGGTGGCGAAGAGAACGGGGGAACATCCGGACCCCCCTCCCCTCACGCCCGAGGGCAGCTGGGGGGGGAGAGAAGCAGGGGAGGGGGTGTTTTTCCCCAAGGTGTTTTTTTTTGGGGGGTGTCTCCCACCCTATTGCCCGTTTTCACCCCAAAGCCTAACTGCAAACCCGCCTCCTCTTAAGGGTGCTTGCGACGAGGGTCCCACAGGCAAGAATCCCACCCCAAGACTTTGTTTTTTAAACACCCTCAGCCCCTAAACCGCTTGCAAGAAACTCTTGCCTCCTTCCCTCCGTTAACTTGCACGGGGTTGGAATGGATGACCCCTGGGGTCCCCTCCCTCCAACTCCACTCCAGCTCCTGCTGATGATGCCTCGCCCCCCCCCCCTCCCATGGGGGCCAGCCTTCTCCCTGCTGGGTCTCACCTGGGTGCTGGAGGGCAGGACCCCATGGGGCGCTGCTGGGCTGCAGGGCAGGGACCCAGGAGTGCCCCGTTGCTTTCCCAGGCGCCGGCCAAGGGAGGGGGCAGGATGGAAAGTCCGGAAGCGGAGCGAGCTGGGAGCGGAGCCAGGGACAAAGTGAAGGAAGGGGAAACCGGAGCCGGACTCCCTGGGAGCGGAGCCAGGAGGCTGGGGAAAGCCCGGGACTGGATTCCGCCTCGGGAAGGGAGCTGGAGAGGCCGAGTAGAGGAAGCCCTGAGCAGCCCCAAACCACGGAACTGGAGTTTGCCCAGGAATGGCTAGGGGAGAGCTGGAAGCAGAAGGAAAACCTGGAACCGGCCTCCACAGACTGAGGGTGGCAGGTGCAGAGCCCAGAGGGGAAGTCGATGCAAACGAGGCCAGCTTCAGCAAAAGCCTGGGGTGGAGTGCAAGGAGGATTGGGCTGGTGTAAGTTATGCCAAACACAGAACTGGATTCTGAGTGTGGAGCCCCAGTATTGAGAGAGGGATTGGTCCTCTGACTTGACAGGAGAGGGCGGGTGGAAAACGTGGAACCAGCTCGTGCAGGGAAGCTAGAGAGGTGGGCAAATTGCTGAAACAGCTGAGACTGCTGCCTGTGTTTGTGACTCCACAAATGGTGTGGACACATCCCTTGAACTGAAGATGTGGAATTCAGAAATATAACGATGGACACTGTTGAGAGCTATTTTAAACATGGGAAGAATATGCCAACATCCTACGCATCTCGGCCAAGCAATAATGTTTTCAGCAGGTGCCAAAAGCTGTACCAGTGAAGGAGCCTACCTGGGTGTCAATAGGCAGGGAGTTCCAACGCTCCATTTCCTTACAGATGCAGAAATGGAATTACGTGGCACCAGCAGCACTGCCAATTCTACCGATCAAAGTCGCAAAGCGGGTGCATTGGGGTCCATGCAAGACCCCAGTAATGTGCAGATCCAGCGTTTGCCAACCTGGTGCCCTCTAGCGGTTGTGGAACAGTATGCCCACTGGCTGGCCAGGCCTGATGGGAGTTGCAGTACACATATCTAATAAATAAATACAGTAGTCCACAACTTCTGGGGAACACCAGCCTGGCCCCTTTCTCTTAACAATGGAGAAATGGCCTGCCAAGACGGGGTTGGACTAGATGAGTCTTGGGAGACCCCTTTGCAAATCTACAAAGGGAACTGAGGCCAAGGATTCTGGTTGCGAGGACACAGGAGAAATCCAGTCTCCATTGCCCAGCCTTTGGCTGCAGCTTCGAAAATATATTCCCCTGGGAATCCATTCCTGGGGAGAGAGATTCTGTTGTGTTCTGCATCTGTGTTTTCCCTTTGCCCCACAGCAGGATTTGGCCTCTCCCTCTCCCCCAGGACTCCTTCCTTCTCCCCCAGAGCAGGAAGGAGCACAATGGGGGTCTGGAAACCCAGTTTCCTGTCTCCAGGAAGGGGTTGCGTCACCCAAGCAGGGAGGGGCTTCCTTCAGCCTCTCCCTCCCCTCCCTTGCTGATTTAACACCTTCGATCCCAGTATCAAAGTGCACCTTTCCCTAGACCAGAGCTTTCCAAACTGTGTGTTGGCTGCAGTGCGTAGGTGTGTCCTGTGAATGCTCATTTTTAATCCTTGTTGGAAGCTGCCCAGAGTGGCTGGGTACAAATTATTATTATTGTTGTTGTTGTTGTTGTTGTTGTTGTTGTTGTTGTTGTTGTTGTAAAACTGAATTACTGTGTTGCAAAATGATGCACATCCAAAAAGTGTGTCGCCAACAGGAAACGTTTGAAAAGCTCTGTCCCACATTAATAGGGATGGCCAGCATGCCCTGCTGGCTGAGACCTGTGTGACAGGCAGGAGTCCCACTGGTATAGTTCCTGCTTCTTCACGCAGCTAACTTGCGGAGTTCGCTGGAGCAGGAGGCAGGGATGGCTTTGGAAGAGGATCAGACAAATCCACGGAGGAGGAGTTGGGAGTCCAAGGTTGGAGGTTCTGGACCCCAGTTGCTGGAAACCCCCAGGGGGAAGTCCTCTTGCACCCGGGCCCTGCTTGTGAGAACAGGACTCTGGACCAGGCTGAAGCTTCCCCTCTTGAACTTCCACCTGCACGGCCAACTTTAAAGTCACCAAAACTCCTTTCTGTCCTGAGTCTCATCCCACCAGGTTCCAGTAATGCCTCCCAGGCCATCTTGGCCATCCTTTATTTTAAAAAAAGCATGTCCGGTGCAACCGGACCAGAGCTTCTGAAGGAATTGTTTCATTTGTTTATGTATCCTAGGGCGGCGGCGGCAAGAAGAGGGATATAAGATTTGGGAGAAACGTGAAATTAAGAAATGCTAGGATTGGGATTATTTGTGGTTTGGAGAGGGAGAAATATAAAATGCAAAGGGATTCATGGGTAGTGTTGAATAGTGGGTAGACATGGCAGACGACACAGCGATTTCTCCAAAGCAGCTCTTTATTTTTGTAAGCTGGAACAGAACTGAACAGCAAACAGCTCAGCCGGCCTGCTTTTATAGGCAGCCGGCTGTCAACATTGTAGCAACAACAACCCAGGGTTTCCCACCTAAAATAACTGATGTGGACCTGAGTGAAAACTATCTACACTATCCCCCTGCTGGCCCAGGGTGAGAACTTCAGTACATAACAGGTAGCCCGGCCAAACTAGGGCTGTTAAGTGGACAGCAGAGACCCATGGAGAGCCATTGAAGGTCCTCAGCAAGACCTCTTGCCCCTGGTGTGACCAGAGACGGGGGGGGGCAGATTTGGGAGGTTGCAGGGTAACTGCTCCAGGGGAGGGCAAGGGGTTTGGGGGAAGGAAAAGGGGCAGAAGGGCAGAGAGCCATCTTGGCGAGGTTTGGGCTTCTGTTCTCCAGAGACGCAGGCCCTGTGGGGGCGCCTGAAAGCCCATGGGCCCCTGGCCAGAGAGAGGGGCAGGAGCCAGCCTTTCTCCACGAGGGTCCGCGTGCAAAAATGGAAAGGGGCCTTTGCCCTAACGAAAGGGGGGAAAGGCTTATGAAGATGGCGGAAGAATATGCTGAGATGCCATGAGAATGAAAGAATTTCTTGGAGGATGGAAATGTTTGCCAGATGGAGGGGGAAGCCATTGCTGACAGGAACAACTCCCCTCCTGGAGGAGGCAGGGACTTCCACTTGCAAAGTCATTTCCAGAGAGAGAGAGAGAGAGAGAGAGAGAGAGAGAGAGAGAGAAATGCTTGCTGGAGGGCCAGTTTTGTGAGGATTTTCCCTTGTCCTCTCCTTCGCCCGGTTTCCTGAGGGAGTTTTCCCACTGAGTTTCCCTCTTGGCTGCTCCCCTCCCAGCTTCTCCTTCATTTCTCCTTCCTTCTCTCCATGTTTCTCTCTCCCCCCCCCAATTGTTTGAGGCCAGCTGGATTCCCCCCCCCTCAGCCAGGCAGGCCCAAGAGGAGCCCAGGAGGCGGCAGGGACAGGAGACGCCATTTCCCGCCCTTTTCAGAAAAAGGCGGGAACGCCATTTTGTTTCTTCCAGAGGCCCCAGCCGCTCCCAGAGACGCCATGGCTCCCCTGTGGGCCTCGGGGGTCCCACGCTCTCGGGGTCTCTCCTCCCGGCTGAAGGAGGGCGGCACCTTTGGTCCTCAGCTGCCTTCCTGCCATGATGGCTTGGCCTCCGCAGGGCAGCCTCTCTCCTCGCCATGTTGCCCCACGGAGGAGGCCTCCCCATTGGGAGATGCCAGGCAAGCGGCCTTGGGGGATCTGCCAGGTTCTGCGCCAGGACAGGCAGCAATGAGGGAAAGCCCCTCTCTGTCTCGGAGGCCCAAGAAGAAGAATAAGGAGAAGGGTTTTATCTCCTCAGAGGTGGAGGGTTCCCTCAGGGGAGTTTGACCCCCCAGACCAGCTTCCTTCGTCACCCCAAGGGTCAGCGCTAGGAGAAGGGCTTCACCTGCAGGCCTAGGGGAAAGGGGGGCTCTTCCCAGACAAGGCTGGAGAATCCCCTTCTGGCCCCTCGGGGTCCCAGGAGCCCTTTCTGGATGGCCCTCACTTGCACCCAAAACGGGCTAAGACGTCTGTTCCTCTCCCTCAGGCAGTAGTTCAACAGGAGAAGTTGCTCCCACTCCAGATCCCTGCAGGTCTCATGGGGCCACTGCAGCCCAGTGCGGGGGACTCTGGGGAACTGGTTGAACTGGAGTCCTCCCAGTCCAGTCCAGACAAGAAAGAGAGGGAGCTCTCAAAAGAGGAAGCCATTGTGGAGAAGAACCAGACATGGCTGCTCTCTGCTGAGGGTCTCCTGCCTTTCTTCCAGGCTTCCTGGGGGTGCCATGGCCAGAGGAAGAGGCAGCCCCCCACCCTGAATGCCGTGCAGGGCCCTGGGGGGCAGCCAGAGCTCTTCCTCTTGCCATGGCCAGGCCTGCCTCAGTTTCCTTCCCCAAGGCCTTGGAGGAATCTTGGGGGTGTGGAATGACAACCCCAAAAGGAGCTTAGGTTCCTGGCCAATGGGGAAAGGAACATTATATTGCATTTTTCCAGAGGAGTCCAGGCATTGCCTCCAAGGTCCAGGGACTGATCCACCCTGGCTTCCTCCTCTTCAGAGGTCCCTCCTGGAGAAGGGGTCCCAGGTCTCTATGGGGCGAACGGGGAGAAGCGTCCCTGAGGCCTGCTTTTGCCTTTTACGCCCCGGCCACCTTCCCTCTGGTGTTTATGTGAGCTCTAGAGATGGGATCACATACAGATCCTCCCCTTTAGGGATTCCTGCTCCTTCCTTGCCCAGGGAAGCAGCCTCTCTGGCATGTAGGGGGGAGGGGGGCACATTGATGCAAGGGGCACATTGATACACCAACAATATTTCAGTTTCGAGAAACGTGTCTATAGATGTGTGAGTACAACAGTTGTGACCACGCCGCCCACCAGTTAGCTGTTGGCGTTTGACAAGAGTAGGTGTGTTTTTAGTGCAGCCAAATGAACAATTATGAGAAATGTAAAAGTGTTCCAACACTGTTTTAAATCCTTAAGATTTATTAAGACCAAGTAAGTTATTCCACTCAGTAATCAAGATTACACGTGATTTTTAAATAAATTCAGTGGTTTTATTAATAAGTGTTAATTTTTTGAAAATGTCTGTTTCGGGCACTTTGATACACTAAGACATGGGGCACATTGATACGTATAGAAGTGCCCTGCTAGTGTACAATTTTTGATGTTCCCAATCCTGAAAATAAAATTGTTGGAGATTTCCTACTCATTATATTTGAAAAGAAAAATACTGCTGTTTACTACACGGCCAAAATCATTTCTAAATATAATACAACCGATTTTCAAGTGTCATATCTCAGGGGGAAACCAGGACCTTGTATGTTGTTTTGCAGTTGCCAAAACCAAATTAATCAAAGGGCTCATCTCTTTATCCTTCATCTCTTTACAGTGGTACATCGGGTTAAGAACTTAATTCGTTCTGGAGGTCCGTTCTTAACCTGAAACTGTTCTTAACCTGAAGCACCACTTTAGCTAATGGGGCCTCCTGCTGCTGCTGCTGCGCCGCCGGAGCATGATTTCTGTTCTCATCCTGAAGCAAAGTTCTTAATCTGAGGTACTATTTCTGGGTTAGCGGATTCTGTACTCTGTGTTAGGATATTTCCGTTCCACCTTAAAAGGGAGCAGGCTTTGTGAGTCACAGAGTCTGCGCATGTCCTGTTCACAGGATGTTTATGTCTGTCGAAGACACTGAAGTAGAACAGTCATGTCTTTCTTTGTTCTGATCAACGCTGAATAAAAGCTTGTAAATAATGCTCTCCTGAGTGCGACTTCTGGCTGTGCATTATCTGCTGATAAGAGTGTGCATGAGCCCTGGAATGTGGCAAGGTATTTCCAGGAAACTTGTGTCGCTAATAGCTCATACTGCGTGACTACGGGAGATCGATGCTTCCGGCAGCCGGCTTGGGGGCCATGATGGACTTTATCTCCCTGGCAGTATCCCAACACTCTGAAGCGTCTGTAACCTGAAGCGTATGTAACCCGAGGTACCACTGTATACTTTTTCTATTGACTTCAGTGGATATAATGTACAATAGAAGATAAACATTCAGTAATTATCTTATTTGTTATAAGCCTTTTGTTTAAATTACTATTTTTGACTACCTAATGTGAGTTCTTATACTTTCTAAAGTTTCTCCAAAGTTCTTTCTTAAATGGATGTGTTTGAGGAAAGATTAATATGTTTTGATGCTTTGTAAGAAAACCTGCCGTAAAGTCTATGATATATGTGAAACACTGTTAGTTTTGATACGTTATTTAGTTTTTAAGTAACCAATTGTAAGGCTGATTATGATCTCTCACAATAAAAAGTTTTTTCATTAAATTTTTGTAAATACTTAACATTCTCATAAAATTTACACTTTGTATCAAAGTGCCACATCCAATGTATCAAAGTTCTCTGTAGGTGGGGCAGAATGATACAAAACCCATTTTTTACTCAAGTCGTCATATTCTCATTATCTTCTAACTATAATTGTTCTTTTGATTGCTATTATAATATTGATTAGTTATGCATAAAGCAAAAAAATATATTATTTGACTCGTTTTTGTTACATAAAATACGAGATTGAATTTTTCTGCATCAGTCTGCCCCGCTTCCCCCTAAGGAAGGTTTTCCAATAATAATAATAATAATAATAATTTTTATTTATACCCCACCTTCCCCAGCCAAGGCCGGACTCAGGGCGGCTAACAAGCAACAATAAAAACAAGTTGAATGAACACAACTTAAAAACAAGATTAAAATACATTAAAATATTGAAACATTAAAATATTAAAATGGAGCCTCATCACAGGAGGAGAAAGAAAAGGAAAAAAAGAGAGGGAGGGAATCAAATTGGCTCCAAGCCAAAGGCCAGGCGGAACAACTCTGTCTTACAGGCCCTGCGGAAAGAAATCAGATCCTGCAGGGCCCTGGTCTCATGAGGCAGAGTGTTCCACCAGGCCGGAGCCAGTGTTGAAAAGACCCTGGCTCTGGTTGAAGCTAATCTAACTTCCTTAGGGCCTGGGACCACTAGGGTGTTGTTATTTATGGACCTTGAGGCGCTCCGTGGGGCAGACCGGGAGAGGCAGTCCCGTAGGTACAAACTTCTTCGGATGCTGCAGAGAGGAGTTCCACAGGGATCTGGAGGCAGAGGAAGCCCTCCCCAATGCTGGGATACTGTTCTGGTAGATCCCTATCAGGAATGGCACTCCCCTCCATCTAGTAAATCATATTTTTTTCTTACCATGAATTTCAGTTTACAGATGGGGGGACGACATTCCACCCTCCTCTATCTTCCTCCGCTTCAGTGCATTGTAGCATTTGTTGCCTCCAGTGGAGGCAGCTGTTGGTTTATACATTGACATGGGGAGCAACTTATGGGGCTCTACCGTTTGGCATTGCTGTTTAGCCACCTGCTTTGTGTACGAGTGTCCTGCCTTTCCAGGACTCCTCTGGTGATGTGGCTGGCATACAGACACCTGTTTAAGGGTGGAGGCGTTAGGAGACATGATTCCCCCCTCTGCAGAGGACACTGCAAGTTGAAGACCCTGCCTGTCTCTGTAAACCGAACTTCAGGCTAAGAAAAAAGTCTGTTTTAAAAATTATTTCTGATTCATTTTTTGATTGTTTTAAAGAGTTGTTTCTACCAATAATGTTAGTGTTTCAGGCTCATTATAAATCACATTCAGATTTACTTGTTTTTAAAATCCAGTCATGTATATGTAGGAGAAATTCAAAGATATTACCCACACATAAAAACCCCAAAGAAAAGGGTGCAGTCTCCAAGTGAAAAGATAGGCCTTTATTGAAATACAAATGTGCATGCAAAGAACCACATCCAAAACAATGGTTTTTTAAAAAATACACTTCCAAATTGCACATGTCATTCCTATTAACCAATCACAGAATCACAGCAATCTTAATCGTTGCAACCCAATGTCACAATAATCAACCAACCAACCAAAATCATTTGGCTCTTCAGATCAGCCCTCCTCATAATATATCATGTGATTACATATAACATTCAACAGTCCCCATAGAGTCCAACACTTTATTCTTTTCAGAATTCCAGAACTGACATTTGCTATGTACAGGACCTAAAAGCAGCTGGTTCTGTAACGTAAAAAGTAGGCAGGCACAGGCTTCACAAGGCAGCGGTCATCCACAACTTGATTGTGGATGGAGGAATTGACTTGGCATCCATGACAGAGACTTGGTTGGTCTCTGGACATGTCCTTGCCGCTGCTTGTCCATCGGGTTTCTCTTACGCACAGCAACCCTTTCAGCTGATTCCCTGGTGGCCCACTGGAATGTGGAGATAACCACGGCTGTTGACTGTCTGGCTCTGAAGCGCCCTGATTGAATGGAGCCCGGACAGCCCTGTGGTTTTCCTCAGAGCTGAGGGCAATGTAAGAATGGCTGAGACCTCTAGAGCACTAGTGGTGTAAAACTCATTCTGAATCGGACCAGACACGGTTTACAGCTCAGTGCCAAGCCTACCATCCTCTCCCCCATGCTTTTCAGGTGCACAGCCTGGGAGTCATTTTGGACTCACAGCTGTACATGGGGATGCAGATCCATTCTGTGCCCAGGGCAACTGTTTACCAGCTCCATCTGGTATGCAGGCTGAGACCCTACCTGCCCGCAGACTGTCTCGCCAGATTGGTGCATGCTCTGGTTATCTCCCGCTTGGACTACTGCAATGTGCTTTGCGTGGGGCTACCTTTGAAGGCGACCTGGAAAATATAACTAATTGCTATTTGTTTCTTGTTTTTTCCTTCTTTTTGTTGTTGTTTTTTGTTGTTTTTTTAGAATTCACAATAAACATCATTTTAAATGACCATCACATGCTTCTCAACCACGTAGAGGAGCTGGGAGCAATGTTATACAGTAGTTCCGCTCCGTCCTCCTGTGCCGTGTCCAGAAAGTGGTGTTGGGATCCTTGGTTCTCACTTGTGGGGTGCCTCAGGGTTCCATCCTCTCCCCCATGCTTTTCAACATCTATATGAAGTCACTGGGAGAGATCATCAGGGGATTAGGGCAGGGTGTTCATCAGTATGCCGATAATACCCAGCTCTACCTCTCTTTTGAGAGTCGCATGTGCTGCAAGAAGATCAAACGTCTCCATTCTGAAGGAAATCAGCCCTGAGTGCTCACTGGAAGGACACATCCTGAAGCTGAGGCTCCAAGACTTTGGCCACCTCATGAGAAGACTCCCTGGAAAAGACCCTGATGTTGGGAAAGATGGAGGGCGCAAGGAGAAGGGCACGGCAGAGGACGAGATGGTTGGACAGTGTTCTTGAAGCTACCAACATGAGTTTGGGGTCATGAAGAGTCGGACACGACTAAACGACTAAACAACAACAATACTTGATTTTTTATCATGTTTTCAATAGTCTGTTGGGAGCTGCCCAGCGTTAAGAATTTTTTTAATTTTGTTTTGATTATGGCAGACCAACACAGCTACCTACCTGTATCTGTTGTTGTTATTATTATTAGTTCTTTAAACATTCTAAGCACTATTAGGGTTTCTCCTATTCATGAATTCTTTGATGGGAAGTGAGATAATCCTTCCGAATGAAGCTCTTTCCACATTCCAAGCATTGATAGGGTTTCTCCCCTTTATGAATTCTTTGATGGGAAGTGAGAGCATCCTTCCGACTGAAGCTCTTTCTACATTCCAAGCATTGATAGGGATTCTCCCCTGTATGAATATTTTGATGGAAGGTGAAACTAATCTTCCATCTGAAGCTCTTTCCACATTCCAAGCACTGATAGGGTTTCTCCCCTTTATGAATTCTTTGATGGGAAGTAAGACTATCCCTCCGACTGAAGCTCTTTCTACATTCCAAGCATTGATAGGGTTTCTCCCCAGTATGAATTCTTTGATGGGAAGTGAGTTTACCCTTATCACGAAAGCTCTTTCCACATTCCAAGCATTGATAGGGTTTCTGACCTGTATGAGTTTTTTGATGGCTCAGGAGATGGGCCCTTTGGATGAAGCTCTTTCCACATTCCAAGCATTGATAGGGTTTCTCCCCTGTATGAATTCTTTGATGAGCAGCAAGTTTTCCCGTCTCACGAAAGCTCTTTCCACATTCCTGGCACTGATAGGGTTTCTCACCTGTATGCATCCTTTGATGGATGGTGAGTTCATGGCTGTGACTGAAGCTCTTTCCACACTGGAAGCATTTATATGGTTTCTCCCCTGTATGAATTCTTTGATGGGAATTGAGATCACAACTCTGACGAAAGCTCTTTCCACATTCGAAGCACTGATAGGGTTTCTCCCCTGTATGAATTCTTTGATGGGAAGTAAGACTAGTCCTACAATTGAAGCTCTTTCCGCATTCCAAGCACTGATAGGGTTTCTCCCCTGTATGAATTCTTTGATGGGAAGTGAGAATTTGGCGGTTACTGAAGCTCTTTCCACATTCCAAGCACTGATAGGGTTTCTCCCCTGTATGAATTCTTTGATGGTAAGTGAGACCGTTCCTCTGTCTGAAGCTCTTTCCACATTCCAGGCACTGATAGGGTTTCTCCCCTGTATGACTTATTAGATGGGAAGTGAGGCTGTGGCTCTGACTGAATCTCTTTCCACATTCCAAGCACTGATAAGGCTTCTCCCCTGTATGAATTCTTTGGTGGGAAGTGAGCTCTGAGCTCAGTCTGAATCTCTTACCACATTCCAAGCACTGATAGGGTTTCTCCCCTGTATGAATTCTGTGATGGGAAGTGAGCTCTGAGCTCTTTCTGAATCTCTTTCCACATTCCAAGCACTTATAGGGTGTCTCCCCTGTATGAATCCTTTGATGGGTTGTCAGATTGCTCCTCTGACTGAAGCACTTTCCACACTGCAAACACTGATAGGGTTTCTCTCCTGTATGAATTCTTTGATGGGAAATGAGAGAATCCTTCCGACTGAAGCTCTTTCCACATTCCAAGCACTGATACAATTTCTCTCCACTGTGAGTTCTTTCGTGTGACGTAAGGCTATCCCTCTGGATGAAGCTGTTTCCTTGATGGGAGGTGGACTGGGAGCTCTGACGGATGTTCTCTCCACACCCTGAATATTTATTTGACTTCTCCGCTATGTGGATTCTGTTGTGGTCCCCTTTGTTCTTCCCTTCCAATTCATCACCATCTGCAATGAAGAGAGAAGCTAATTAGAGCCTCACGAAGATTATTCCCCAGATTATTGAACGATGTTAATGAATTAAAAAATTCCTTCCAGTAGCACCTTAGAGATCACCTAAGTTAGTTCTTGGTATGCCCTTTCGTGCGCATGCACACTTCTTCAGATACACTGAAACAGAAGTCACCAGAGCCTTATATATAGTGAGAGGGTGGGGAGAGGTATTACTCAGAAGGGTGGTGGGAATGGGTGATTGGCTGATAGGTGTGGTATATCTGTTGAAGACTGTTAAAGACTGCAATTGGTCTTACAGGAAAAAGCAAGGGGTGAGATGGCTAAAAATAGCTACATATACCATGTATAATGAGATAAGAATCCAATGTCTCTATTCAGACCAGGTCTCTCCAGGGTTTTAAGTTTGGTAATTAGTTGTAATTCAGCAACTTCTTTTTGCAGTCTATTTCTAAAATTCTTTTGTAATAAGACAGCTACTTTGAGATCTTGTTTAGAATGTCCTGGGAGACTGAAGTGTTCTCCTACTGGTTTCTCTGTCTTGTGATTCCTGATAACAGATTTATGTCCATTGGTGCCCCGCAAGACGAATGCCTCGCAAGACAGAAAACTCGCTAGACGAAAGAGTTTTCCGTTTTGGAGGTGCTTCGCAAAACGAATTTCCTATGGGCTTGCTTCACAAGACGACAATGTCTTGCGAGTTCCTGCTGGGTTTTTTTCCTCCCCCCCTTTTCTAAGCCGCTAAGCTGTTTATCAGTTGATCCGATCAGCAGATAAACCGGTAAAACCGCTAAAAGCCGCTAATAGCGCTAATCCGCTAAGCCTTCAATGGGCTTGCTTCGCAAGACAAAAAAAACCGCTAGACGAAGAGAATCACAGAACGGATTCTTTTCGTCTTGCGAGGCACCACTGTAGTCCTGAGATGGTATTTTTGATGTTGTTGAGGCCAGTAATTAAGAATGTTAATGAATGCTTGTTGTCAGGGAACTGACATCAGAGCGAGAGGCGAAGGGGAGGCTCTCTGATGATGCGGGAGAAGGACCCAGCAGCAGGGGGAGAAACAGCCCAGTAGAGGGGGAAGCTAATCAGCGCAACACCAGGGATAGAGGGGGGCAGATGGGGGAATCGGAGAGAGGGCTCCATGATTCTTCACTGGACGTCAGTGAAGAGAGCCCAGGTCCTCCGCTGCCCACGCCCTCCCTGCGCAGGAGGCTCCCGCGCAGTGAGAGGAGGAGGAGACTGGGTGTCAAACAACTTTTATGTTGGAAGAGGTTCAAGAAATGCCCACTGACGGATTCTGGCAGCGATTGAGGCAGCCACGATGAGAAGGGGCTGTGCAGTCAGAAAGGTTTTACAAGGCAAATTAGCCTAGAGAGGCACCAGTTTACGCACGAGTAACTCATACCCACTACACTTGTGATAAAGGAAGAACTGAAAATAATTAGTTATGAGGCCTTACTATTATTTTTACTACCTTTGTTGGCTGATATTTACTGATATATTACTTGGCTTTTATCTAGGATAGATAATGTTTGGCTCAGTCATGGAATTATCTTCATCTCCAAGGTCAGTCATCTCTTTGGTCAATAAAATGCAGACAAAAGAAAAAACAACAAACCTGACAGAACTTACTTCAACTACCCTAAAAAATCTGAAGATGACATTTAAAAAGGCCTGGGTAGTTCAAAAAAGCCTGGTCATTGCTTTAAAAAGCTTGACGAAATGAAGAATATTCACAGAGAAAACAGTTGATATCCCTCCATTCAGGATTCACGGTGAGGATCTTGGAATCCCAGATGATGATGATGATGATAAATTTTTATTTGTATCCCGCCCTTCCCGACCAAAGCCACGGTCAGAGCGGCTAACAACAGGTAAAAAAATCATTAAATCACACAGTCAATTAATTAAAATACATTTTAGAATTAATTCAGAATCATATTAATAGCAACCACCAGGTTAGAGTTCTATGAAGATTACAGAAGGAGAGAGGGGGTCAGACTGTGCCCTGGCCAAAGGCCTGGTGGAACAGCTCTGTCTTGCAGGCCCTGAGGAAAGATGTCAAGTCCCGCAGGGCCCTAGTCTCTTGTGACAGAGCGTTCCACCAGATTGGAGCCACTGCTAAAAAAGCCCTGGCTCTGGTTGAGGCCAGCCTAACCTCCCTGTGGCCCGGGACCTCCAATATGTTTTTGTTTGAAGACCGTAAGGTCCTCCGTGGGACATACCAGGAGAGGCGGTCTCATAGGTACGAGGGTCCTAGGCTGTATAGGGCTTTAAAGGTTAAAACCCGCCCCTTAAACCTGACCCTGTACTCCAGCGGGAGCTAGTGCAGCTGGTATAGCACTGGGTGAATGTGATCCTGCTGTGAGGACCCCGTAAGGAGTCTGTCACGGGGCTGCCAGGGAATGCCCCAGAGCTGAGGGAGGGGGAAGAACAAGAGCCGTTAGAAAAGACAGGAGAGGGAGAGGAGGACAAGTAAGCGGAAGGAACTCAAGCGGCGAGGATGCCTCCGGATGCTGGAGACCATCAACACCACTCGACCAGTTCAGAGGGAGGACAGAGAGAGAGTCAATGCCCATTCCTTCAGCACAGGACAGAAGGGGGTTAAAATGTAGGGAACAAAGGAGGCGCTTGGGGCTTCCCAAGCTCCTCTGCTGGAGGAGGAGCCAAAAGCTCCCACTGCCTGGATCTCCTACCGAGGATTCAAATGCATGAAGCTATGTCCTGTACCGTGTAAATATGTATGTAAATAAAGACTGTAAATATATCTCTGAGTGAGCAGAGGTATTTCTTGCGAAAGGCTTCCAGACCCACCACAGAGTCCTGCCACGGCATTCTGTACCTGCTGGAGTTTCTGGGTCAGTCTCAAGGGCATCCCCACGTAGAGTGAGTTACAATAATCAAACCTGGAGGTGACTGTCGCGTGGATCACAGTAGCTAGGTCAGGGCGAGAGAAGTAAGGAGCCAACTGCTCAGCTTTTCATCTCCATCAAAAAAGCGAAGGTTCATCACACAGAGCAGGGCTCAGGAAGGTTTACCTTGCCTGGGTCGGTTCAGCCCTGCGAAGATCCCGCCATGGTCTGGATCGCTCATGTGTCTGCGTCTGGTTTCCGGCACCACGGAAGCGAGTCCCCGCCCTGGACTGGTTTAGTGCAGCAGGCGGGGACTCGCTGAGCGGGCGGCTTGGTTCGGGGGTGGCTTGTGGCCCACTTAAATGACCCCCATGGGCCGCAGGTTGCCGACCCCTGACAGAGGTATGTATGGAATTTCAAAACTGATTTTATGATCCAACAGGGAGTTTTACTGAGAGGGTCCATGATCCTACGATTCTCCTCCTTTACTTCCTTATGCAGAGCTCTTTGGACAGGATCCATGCCTTGTCTGTGAAACCTACACGCCATCAGCAGTTGCCTCACTCTGATTGGTCTAAATTTAAATTTATACGCAAATCACTTTCTTCAGTTTGAACCCCCCTCCCGTGTTCATGAGGAAACCAACTCTGTATTGTTTCATTGGTAACAGAAGAGGAAAAGTGACTATAACTCACACTTTATCTAAGCACAACAGCCGCAAGAGCTCCTGACTAGGCATTCAGCTATGCAATGTTGAATGCTCTCTGTTCTCTCCTGTTTCCTCATTTTTTGTTCCAGTTTAAAACATTTCATGAACCCAGAACTCACACACTGACCACTAACGATGAATTGTATGCTATAGATATTCCTGCAAATAGATTCTGCTAGTTTTGAGATATACAAATGGCATGAGAAGACTCGGTCTACATCAAGGGTCGGCAAGCTTTACCTCGCCTGGGCTGGCTCACTCTCACGGAGATCGCTCTGTGGGCAGGATCACGTGTGTACACACAGGACTCACCGAACGGACGGCTCAGGGGCAGCTGAAATGACCCCCATGAGTCGCTTGTGGCCCATGAGCCATAGATTGCTGACCCCCGGTCTACATATTTCATCATTTAGTGGTCCTATGATCCTTGTTTTTAAAAGCAAAAAAAAGTTATTCCAAAAAGAAAGAAAAAGGCAACACACGGAGGATGCAGGATTAGGATTCAGTTCCAGAAATTTGTGTACAGAAGTCTGATCCATGGAAAATGTGTAAAAGGAAGTAACCTTAAACCTAAACAGCATACAGCCTATAACTTTAGACCGTATTCAAGTTAATAGAAAAAAACAACAGCACTCTTTGTTCCATTTCTGTGGAAGAATAAGAACCAAAATTTCTTGTTGAAAAGTTTGTTTGCAACCTGTTTTCCCAAAGAAAACCCACTGTCGCTCATGATTCATACTCCATTGGGGGGAAATCAAAATTAGAAACAGAACTGTTAGAACCTAAAACTAAGACTTTGTCAAGGATGTATAACTTGCTGCTGAAATGGAATACTCAGGATGAAATGGTCAAATCTGCTATGATTAAATGGGCACAAGATGTTGGACATAACATTATGTTTGCTGACTGGGAACAGTTGTGGACCACAGGTATGAAATTTACGGCATGTAATGCCCTAAGAGAGAATATTATGAAAATGATATACAGGTGATACATGACACCAGTCAAGCTTGCAAAAATCTATCATTTGCCCGATATTAAATGTTGGAAATGTAAGGAAACTGAAGGTACATTCTTTCACCTTTGGTGGACGTGCCCAAGGATTAAGGCTTTCTGGGAGATGATTTATAATGAAATGAAAAAGGTATTTAAATATACCTTCCTGAAGAAACCAGAGGCCTTTCTCCTGGGCATGGTCGGCCAATT